GGATTGGACTGTTGAAACTGGCAACAGGAAACCGTCGTCATCGTACACTAGATGGATTATGGAAAGCATGCAAGGATGAATGGCAAAATTACGATGGAGCCTTACATAGTGGATACAATGCTACAGGGCTATTTTCAAGAAATACAGTCATGACCAGAGCATGACCGCACGTGGCGATATAGATTGTAATGGTGAAGCACCAAAATCATTTTAATATAATTTATTCAACCTCTAGACAATATCATAACCAATCTTATTCAGCTTTGATCCATATGCTATTGTGTTTGCTTCTAAAATTGAGCTGTAACATTATAGTAGTAAACTTTCTTGAAATTACGGTTTCACAGAAAAGTATACTTGATATTGTTCTTTACAATTAAATTAGGTTGTGATTTCGGCATAGATGGCAATCTCCACATCGTGAATACGATCACACAGCTGATGTATGTTGATGATATGTAACTTTCGAAGCATGAAGCATCTTAACTAAAATTATATAACAAAGCTCAAACACAAATAGCTGAAAATTTCCAATTGGAAGAGAATCGTTTCTATTCAACAGAGCTAATTTATCTCATGTGGTTATACATTTCTTTGAGTCTGGAAGTAATTCCAGGGTAGTTTTTCTTTCTAAAGCAATATTTACACAGACTTTTAAATGGCGTGATAATCTTGTTACTTACCTCCAAACTGAAAGGTCTGATGATAGCTAAAGCGCGAGGCTTTTCACGAGGAGCTTGTATAAGAAAATTAATCTGATCATTTACGTAGGGATAAGTGAAGTCTATTACTTCTGAACGTGAGTTTGACATTCCTATATCACTTACAGCGATTTCTGCTTCCTGAAAAAAAAAAGGTAATATATTAAAATTTCGCTAAAAAACAACAACAACAACAACAGATAAATTTTAATCACAGTAAAAATAATTACTGATATCAACTTTTATATTGTTAAATTAAGTAAAAAGAGTTTCTTGCTTGAAATAATGGCACGTGCCAAACATTTCTAACCTGTCTTTGAATCATTCCAATCAGACCATTCCAGCTTCCGTTGGGCAGTTTTGCACCAAATTTGTTGTCTATAGAGGGCACATGGCGTAGCCTAAACACAGGAAAATAGTAAAAGTGTAACATATCATACGTTTTGCTCCCAGTGAACTTACGTCTTTAACTTAAGTTCTTAATAAGCTCTCGTAAATATCTGCGCTCAAGAACTTTTAAAATAGTTACTCACTTGCGAGAAAACAAGAAATTGTACAGGAAACTAAAACTAAAGGAAAAGTTGAGAACATCTTAACAAAATGCTAGGTAAATACGAATGAAATTGTTTGAAGAATGTCAAAGATCGCTTATCTTCAAATGAACATTTATTTAGAATTTTTAAATAGGAGATTTTATTAAAGATGATTATAAAAATTACATTTGTTGTCTATCATAAAATAACGTAATAACTACCTCTGGATGTCTACACAATATAATAATCCAGAGTGAGTTTGTTTATTTGTTGTTAGGCGCAAAGCCACACAATGGCCTAACTGTTCTCTGCCCATCGTAGGTAAAATATTCGATTTTTAGCGTTATAAGCCCTCGGGCATACCGCTGAGCTCCAGGAGGGCTCAAATGTGAGAGCGATATTATACTAATAGTAATAGAAAGATAAAGTTCTTTAGAAAATGTCCTATGACTAATTTATTTGGCCAAGTTTTGTATCATATATTTATGTTTCTATACTTTGATTTTTAATCAGTTTCTTTCATTAAAATATTTATTAATTTGCGGCAGATTATTGCTTTTAAACAAATCAATCAAGAGAATGAAACAGAAATTAAAAATGCAATGTGGATGTTTGATTTTCAACCAAAATCTAAATGCCAACCCGGAAATCTGAAAATGGAAAG